GGATGCTGGTCATTCCTGGAATGAGCACTTCAGGCTCTAGAAGTTCATTTCTTTCCTCTGAGTGTTTCTTTTATGAATGACCAACCCTCGTTGGCTCACGGGGACACTTCCGGAGTCTGGCGCAGCGCCCCTGTCACTGATCCAGATTGTTCCTTAAAGAAATTTGAATAAGGCAGAGGCACCAGGACAGCATCCACAGAGAATGCAAGGTGAACGGTGCCCCTTGAGGTACAAGCTGGCAGACCTGACTGAGGGCGCCCGGAGGGGCAGAACGATCGAAGGAGTCACTTGAAGAGGTGGGAGGATGGGGAGACGGAGGGCAGGAAGGCAATTTCGGCATATCCCAAGCTATTTTATTTGAGGCACCATGGCAGATGCTCCTTTAGGAGAGGCAAAAGGAGGCTGAGTTCTACTCATACGGTGTTAAATTGAAGCCTCGCCCATGTTAAAATCCTGCAGTGTGTGACTCTGGCCACCACTCACACTCAAGGCCAGATAACATCCGCCATTAGACCAGTGTAATAGTTCCCTCCACCCACGGGAGCTCTGCTGTTTATATTAAAAGGACACAAATTTGAAATTCGAATCCTAGCTTTGTCACTGCAGGCATTCCTTGCTTGGCCCAACAGGTGTATTCTCCACAAGTTCCGGGTAGATTAAAATTTCATGTCGTATTTCAAATTCATGAAGGGAATCCTCTATAAGACAATTATCCCCGAATTTATCTGCTCTGTAAATCTTAATTTTCATTAGTTTGATTTCCTTAAAGGGATACAGCTGTGACCAGGATTGGAGCCGTGGAAATGGCAGTGTCAACAGGGAAAGTTACTCCCATGCCAATCCCTTAGAATGACATCCCGGATTCAACTAAATCAGAGAAAACTTTCCTAAAAGAAGCAGGAATTGCTGTCTCTACTGAAATAACAATCCTCTTGGGAGAGAGAAGACTTCAGCCCACACCTGTTATTGATTCCATAATGTAAGCAAGTTTAGGGATCTCTGCTTGGATAGCGGCTTTGACTTGCAGGGTGGGGTGGGGGAGCATGTAGAAAAGCCAGGAGGTTACAAGTGTTTTCAGGTAGGGGGAGATGGCAAGAAACAAAAAGGGGAAAACTGACAGAAATGAAAAGATTAGGTCACCAAAGGCAAATTCAGTCAACTTATCAATTTGATCTGGGGTTCACACTTGACTTGAGTCTTCCATTTCCATTTTTTTTTTCAGGAAGATTAGATCTGAGCTAACATCTGCTGCCAATCCTCCTCTTTTTGCTGAGGAAGATTGGCCCTGAGCTGATACCCGTGTCCACCTTCCTCTATTTTATATGTGGTACGCCTGCCACAGTGTGGCTTGATGAGCAATATGGACGTCCGTGCCTGGGATCCGAACCACCAAAGCGGGATGCGCGAACTTAACCGCTGTGCCACCGGGCTGGCCCCTTCCATTTCCATTTTGTGAAATGGGAGTTGAGGTGTAGGAAAGGGGAGAATTAGTCTAGGATTGGGTTACTGTCAAGACCAACCTAATCAAAACCACTATAAAGCACACAAGGACTAGAGAAGAAATACTAAAAATTTAACAACAGCACAAGAGATTCAGACAAGATGCTCCCTAAGTTTCTCTCCCTAAGTTCCTTGATGTTTTCACAAAGTAAAATTCTGAACCAAGTTCACTATAACCCTCCTTCCTTAAATGAGCTATAAAATATGGTGGCCTGGGTGCCAAGAAAGGATGCTAGAACCAAACTGGAGGGAAGCGTTTGATCCTATCATGCTAAGAGTAGAGACCTGGTTTTTAATGGGATGGCCTTGGCATTTCTACAGTGTACAGTAGAGCTAAAGAATATTGACTTTGCACTTGTGGGACTATTTTTCATGATGCCAAGTTGGGTCCATAGTAATCCGTCCAGACTTGTCCTCCTTAGCACTCCTCCGTTTCTGAATCATTCGTGCACTAATGCATTCTGAGTCCTGCTGTGATGTAATTAAGGGATAATGTTTGCAGCAAGGAGTACAGAGAGTTGTAAACGCCTCCCATGGGTGATTAAATGCTGAAGGGAAGTTGAATAACTATAGAATTCATTTGGGGCAAGTTTATCCCAATGCCACAAGCATTTTTTTTTTTCCCTAATTATAGGATAGGGTTTCTAAAAAGATACAAACACAGCATCCGTAAGCAAACGTTATCATGCCTTCATCTCCCTTTAGGGAATGGAGAACTGAAACTACTACCCCCTTGGAATGCTTATCTATCTAGGAGGGGGACTTGGGCTGAGTTTGTACTTAAGGAATGAGAATGGAAAACCAAGAGCTGTTTCAGAAAGGATTAAATGAGGGAAATGCATGTGTACTTCGCCAATATTGGAAGGAAGAGGTCCATTTCTAACTGTGCAGATGGTTGTCTGTATTTCTTACAGTAACTTTTTTTTTTTAATTAATGTTATGATAGATTACAACCTTGTGAGATTTCAGTTGTACATTTTTGTTAGTCATGTTGTGGGTACCCCACTTCCCCCTTTGTGCCCTCCCCCCACCCCCCCTTTTCCCTGGTAACCACCAATCAGATCTCCTTGTCAATACGCTAACTTCCACCTATGAGTGGAGTCATATAGAGTTCGTCTTTCTCTGACTGGCTTATTTCGCTTAACATAATACCCTCGAGGTCCATCCACGTTGCTGCGAATGGGCCAATTTTGTCTTTTTTTATGGCTGAGTAGTATTCCATTGTGTATATATACCACATCTTCTTTATCCAATCATCAGTTTCTGGGCATGTAGGTTGGTTCCACGTCTTGGCTATTGTAAATAATGCTGCGATGAACATAGGGGTGCAAGGGACTCTTGGGATTTCTGATTTCAGGTTCTTAGGATAGATGCCTAGTAATGGGATGGCTGGGTCATAGGGTATTTCTATTTTTAACTTTTTGAGAAATCTCCATACTGTTTTCCATAGTGGCTGTACCAGTTTGCATTCCCACCAACAGTGTTTGAGGGTTCCTTTTTCTCCACAACCTCTCCAACATTTGTTGCTCTTGGTTTTGGATGTTTTTGCCAATCTAACAGGTGTAAGGTGATATCTTAGTGTAGTTTTGATTTGCATTTCCCTGATGATTAGCAATGATGAACATCTTTTCATGTGTCTATTGGCCATATTCATATCTTCTTTTGAGAAATGTCTGTTCATGTCCTCTGCCCATTTTTTGATCGGGTTGTTTGTTTTTTTGTTGTTATCTTACAGTAACTTTTGACCTCAATGAACCACTCACTTATCCTGTCTGGGTCTCAATGTTGTGCATCTGGAAAAGTGGGGGTGGCGGTGCTAGGATTAGGTGAGTTCTGAAATTCTTTGCATTTCAGTCCCCCATACACATACATCATACTGGAAAGCACTGAGTGAAGATCTGGGGGAATCAGAACTCTCTTATACTGCTGGAAGCATTGCAAACCGGTACAATTTTGGAAACAAGTGGCAGTATGAATAAATCTGAAAATCTGTATTATGTGTGACGCAGTAATTTCACTTTTAGGCATATTCCTTAGGAAAACTTTCACACATGTGCACAGAGAGACAAGACAAAAATTCTCACTGGACAGTGTTTGTAATAGCTCAAAATTGGAAAAAACAAATGTCTATCAATAGAAAAATAGGAAATAAATAAAACACGGCCTCTTCACACAAAGGAATATTATACAGCAATTAAAAAGAATGACAAAGCTCTCTATAAATCAATATTAATATTTCTAAAATATATACTGTTAAGAAATTCCCATTGGTTAAATTTGTGAAAACCTGAGTCATTAAAAAGGATAATGACTGTAACTGAATGTAACACATTGAATCAATAAAATGCACGAATCCACGTCATACTCAAAAAAGAAAAAAATCATACTGTTAGTTGAAAAGTGCTGGATAACACAAAGAATGTGAAGCCATTTATGTACATTTTAAATATATAAAAATAATAGTATTAAGTGTTCTCAGATACGTACATACATATGAGTGTGTGTGCGTGTGTATGTGTAAAACCAGAGAAAATGGAAGGAAGGACACACGTAAGTTCATGACAACAGTGATGTTTGCGAGGCAAGGTAGAAGTCTGTGCCTGGAGACTGAGGATAAAGGAGACTTCAACTTAATCAGTATGATTACAGGTGTGTGTGTATAAAATTGTGTATGTATTGTGATTGAGTGTGTGTAAATATATATAGATATAATAAACAACATGTAACTTCTAGATGGAGAAAGGTGTTTGTTATAGCATTCATCTCTTCACTTAAAAAAATCTTTTCAAAATAAAAACTACAAGTATGTGAGTAGCAATGCCTTTGGCAGATGCATGGTGACCAGCTCCCTCCCAGCCCCCACATGAAGGGCCTCCGAGAAACTGGAGAGGCCTAACCTTATAGGCCTTCATGGGCTAGCTCCTTGCTGTCCAATTTGCTAGCCACCAGCCACTTTTTACTATTTGAATTTAAATTAAAATTAATTAAAGTTAAATAAAATTAAAACTTCAGTTCCTCCATTGTACTAGCTACATTTCAAACACTGAATAGCCACATGTGGCTAGTGGCTATTGTGTTGGGCAGCACACATATAGAACATTTCTATCATTTCTGTAAATTCTATTGGCTAGAGCTGGCCTTGAACTAAAAACAGGTCTTTTAGACACTGAGAACATTTTTGGTTATATTGCTCTTTCCCTAATACGTCCTTCTTGTACATAGGAAAACTAAGGTAATGCCTAGGAGGATTTTTTTATTTCTGGAAGGAATACGCCCACCATATTCCTAAGTTCCAATTATAACTGAAGTAATACTTTCTTGTTAACGAAAATTAGGTAAACCATTGTAGAAAGAAATCTAGCAATTATCTATAGGTATGCAAACATCGTATTTCATTTTCCCACAGACGTAGGAAGATACGTTGAAGGATGATGAAAGCATTACCCAAACGAAACTCTAAATGTGGGTTCAATGGTTTTCCAAGAGCCTTTGTTTCTCACCTGTACACAGTGTGAGGGACATATACCTCCCGGACTGGAAATTCCAAAATCTCTTTGTGTGGACGTGTCCGGTTTTCAGGAAAGGGTCTCACTGGTAGCATTTCAGGAGTCAAACAACAGCTGACTGTCTCTGGAGCTGGAGAAATCTCCAGTCTGAGCAAGCCTAAAGAGAGAAAATAGGACTGTTTTAGTAAAGACATTGTCATGTTACAAGGGAATCAAGAAAGATTGTTGTACTGTATTTCTTTGATGAAAATAAGGCTAAGTTGTGGGAGTGTAAGAGTTTTAGAATTCCCAGCTAATTTCCAATAGGTGGAGAAAAAGCAAGTCATGCCAACTTTTGAGATGTAGTTTCTCAAAATTGAAAAGCAAGAACTTGTACAATGAGTAGAAATACATTAGAGGATCTTTAAAGTCCCTTCTAGAACTACCACACTATAATAGTACATAGTTAAGTAGCTATTGGTGGTTTTCAAACTGGGTTCCCTGCTACCCCAGGGTGCTGTGAAAGCACAACAGGGGCTGTTAAAACTGAGGATAAGGTGCCTTTATCTTCTACCAAAGCATCTCACTGTCACTATTCTTTGTACACTAAGAGTTCTGTATTTTACTTGATAAAAGAGGCTTCTCTGTTCAAACAATTATCTGATTATTTGAGAAACTAGACCTAACGCATGATGTTTACTTACAGAATCAATCCTTTAATTGAAATAGAAAATATTAATAGATTTTCAAAAAAAGTAGACCAATTCAAACTCTCAACTCCTGATATAAAAATCCCACATTTCACTTGATAAACCTGGTTTTATAAAGTGTAACATTAGATAACGTGTCTAATCATACATGGTTTTGGCACAGCTTAAGAGGATAAAGACAAGCCATTCACACCTGGAATTGACTTGACTCTTCTCTGTAAGGATGAAGATCTTTTGTAGTCAGCTAAAAACTTGAATAAATCTTCATCACTAAGGCGATCTCCCTCCTGCCGAGAAAACAGTCAGGGTTAGTGTAGAAGCACCATTGACCCCTGGGGTGCGGACCAACAATTTCTTGGAAGATTTTTATCTTTAAGTTTTATTCTAGCATGCCTTTCATAGAAATTAGGATTTTAGGTAACTCTGGAATCATTTAGTTCAACCTCTTGTCAAATATTCCTTCTCTACCACTCCTGACTCACTGTCACTCAGCCACTCATCAATCCTTCTGGGGATGGGGCGTCCACTGCATGCTAAGGAAGCCTGTTCTACCGCTAGAGGTCTAGGCCAAGAGCTTCTTCTCCTATAATTTAAACCCACCGGATGCTTATTTGACTCCCTGGAATAATACAGAATAAGTTTACTTCCTTCTTCAAAGATTTGAAGATGGAGAAAGCCTCTTTCTCTCTTTTTCCTATCCTCATTTTCTTCACATTTGTCTTCACTAAGAAGGCTAAGCATAAATACCACCCTCCATGTGCTGTCATGGGACAGGCGCTCTGCCAAGGAATACGTGGGCGAGAGCTCTCATCCTTGCAACAGCCTGGTAAGGGGATAGGTAGATAAGTATGTTTTATTCCCAAGCACAGATGAGAAAACTCAGACTTCATTAAGTCAAGCACTTTACCCCTGAAGGTAATACAATCAGAAGGGGGGCATCCCAAACAGAAATCCTTCCTGTCCCATGCTAGTTCTATTATGTGGCGTGGTGCACAGACCCTCAGCATCCCTTCTGCGTTTGGTTTGTTAACATAACCCCTTGAAATGCCCCACGAAGACTATGTGAGCTATGGAAAATTTTCTAAAACAGAATCAAACCAAGTCTAAGTCAAGTTTGTTTGGTTGGTTTTTTTGGTAGTAAAACACCCATAATATAAACTTTACCGTCTTAACTATTCCTTAGTGCACAGTTCAACAGTGTTAAGTACTTTACATTGTTGTGCAACCGATCTCCAGAACTCTTTCATCTTACAAAACCGAAACTCTGCACCCATTAAATAACAACGCCCCATTCCCCACTTCCTCCAGCCCCTGGCAACCATCACCTCACTCTCTGTCATTGTACTTTCTGTCCCATGAATTTGATTACTCTAGGAAAGTCTGTTTTTTAAGGCCTCAATGTTCACTGAGCTAACAAAGAGCGCCATCTGCAATGGTTGCCCTCTATGAGCAAGTGGGCAGCCCGGGAAAGCCTGCCCATGGAAGAGAGGCGAGAAGGACAACAGCCAGGCCAGGAAACCTTGAGATCAAGGGGGAAACAGTGTTTCAGCCAGACTGTTTCCTTAGCCTAATAAGTGAATTGACTGTGATAGTTCAAATAGGGTAGTTTGTATTAATGGGAACAGATCCTTCTCTCAATTGAGAAAGCTAACACTCATTTAGCACTTGCTGTATCGCAGGCACTCTGAGAAGAGCTGCATATGCCTCATGTCATCTCACCCTCCCAACTGCAAGCACCACCATCCCTGTTTTGCAGATAATGAAATTGAGGCTTGGTGAGGTTAATTAACTTGTTCTCTTAATCACTACGTCAATGCCCCCTTTGGGCTCCAACACCTATGCCATCATGGGGACGAATCCAGACACCCTGCAGTGTGGAGAGATACCTGTTTGAAAAAGCTGCTAACGGTTATGGGGGTGGTCTTCAAGTTGGAGCCAACCCCATTTTCCTCCAAGGAGAGGGCTCTTTCAGAAAGCCTTCTAGACTGAGACAAAGTTCTCCGCTCACCCACAGTGCTTCTCCCTTTAAGGAAAACAACTGTCATTCTGATGTACGCCTTTCTGTTTGAATACGCAGCGGTTATTAACTTTACCATATGTGTATTTAAAGTCACTGAGCAAGAACATTGAACATGGCCATCCTTGTTTTAAATAAAAATTTCCCTCCGCTGGTCCTATCTCTCTTAGTCCCCCTGTTGGAGCCCCTAATCCTTCTCTGACTGGAGTGGACAGGCCATGAACAGCAGTAGTCCCCTCCCACATAGAGGTCAGGGTGGGCCAGATGCCACCCAGCAGGAGTCCAGAAGTGCAGCCAGAACAGGGTCTGCAGATAAGCTCTATTTAGTCAACAGTGTTTGCTTTTGTTTTATTTTTACATCTGCGTTCCATCGGGAGAGGCAAGCACTCAAATGCCCCTGAAGGCATTTGGGATTGGGACCCAAACACACTAGGGGTCAGCCGGAGTATATTCTGAATCTGAGCTTTCTCCTGCTCTTTCTGTATGGACCACGCTGCAGAACCGAGCTTCTGCCTTCGCTGACTTGCCTAAAGGGAAACCTGAGTCACACTCAAATCCGGACGGGGACCCTGACGCTCTGCTTGATTGTTTCTTACCCTTTTTGGAGATTTAGGTGGGGATCTTGTTTGCTTTTACACTGCAAAACTCAGGGGTTCTGTTGTGAATGGTCAAATTGTTTAGAACTGTAATATTGGCAACTCTGAATATTCTTTTATCCTTAATTCTTGCTATGATGCTGAATTGGAACTTCTCATTACCATTGCCTACCTAAACTTGCCATTCTGCCTCAGTATAATACACTGCATTTTCTGGTTGCTTCTTAAGAGTCAGCCTCTGTAGTCAGGTTAATTATCTTTGACACAAAGATTTCGGAGGCCCCAGCAAACCCTATGCCTTTATGATGTCCTCTAAGCTCTATGCATAACTCTTTCAAACAAGGCTACCCGAGTCTACATAACAGTTGGCATTTAAAAAAAAAAAACACTGTGGTGTGAAGGTCAGGATGCACTAAAGTGAGGTAAATCAGAAATAACCTAGGAGTTCTGACTGGTAATTACACAACAGTAACTCAAGAATAGCAGCGGCAATAACAAAATACCCTTTCGTCCACTCCTCTGCTAAAGGCAACATTTCAGAAGTGGCAGAGCTAAGGAATGCACGAGAAATGTCACGAGAAAATGTGACTGTAGACAAATATTTGCTGGATCCAAAGACATTTAGGAAAATAGAAACTCTGCCACAGGTGGGGGTGGGTCGACTTGAAACCTCAGTAACTCTCCTGAACAGTTCCATACCCAGACTGTTTAGAAAATTAATGATTCAGATCAAGGGTGAGGTGACGAAAAAGAGAAATATGCTGAATAAATTGGAACAGTAACTAGATATTCTTTTGGCATCTACTTTTTCATAGCACTTGGCAAAATAAACTTTAAGGGACTGGAAATTTTGCTGGGGAACCTGAGTTTTGCTTTTTGAAGCCCTCGTGACACTGGCTCTTCTTATGCTGAGGAGCCAACTGTGGTCAGGAGCCAACCACGGTGCTTTCGTTTAACACACTATAGATGGTTATTACATTTTCTTGTTATTTTCAAGAATTTTACTTTTAAGAGGAGGTGGCTATTGAAAATTAATTTTTTAAAGCGTCAAACTGTCCATAAAATCCCAACTAAAAATTTACTGTAAGAGTATATTTAAGCTCCACAAACATTCATAACTGTTTCGGGGATTACCGTACAGTCAAGCATTTGGAATCCAGTCATAATCGTGTTTCATCCTATTTATCTCCCTCTTCCTTCCCACCCCAACACCTTACTGGACCTCCAGCCCCACTAATAAGCAGTTGACCTCAGAGTTGGAACTCTGGGGAGCCCTCCCCTTCCCACTGCAGTTGAAAATCTTACCAACCATGGAGTCCACATCGGTTACCTCCCTCTCCAGGGTAGAGACATTGAAGAAGCTTGTTAAGCTTATGGGAGCCCAGGCAAAGGGCATCCGGTATTTCCCCAAGCGTTGGCAGAAAGATTCAGCTTGAAGCTTTAGTTTTTCAATCTTCTCTTTACTCTAGAGGAGAATGGAAAGACACAAGCAGAAACAAACAATATGGCACCAGCACCAAGCCAACTGCCTCTGCCATAGATATGACAGCCATCTCAAAATCCCCACCTACTGACTAAAAAGAGGGACTAGGCAGAAAAACGACACAACTTGGGCCAGAGGTCTAGCTGATCAGGACATACACATTAGAAAAGGAGAAGTTTGAAGAAAGGCTACATTCAATTATTAAATACACCTTCAGCTGAGAAAAAAGGTTCAAGGCTCATTATATCAGCTAACCAACAAACGCCTCTTTTAGGGCTAGCTACAAGACTTGGATTGACATGAGAGAATCTTAGGATGAAAAGTTTTGCATATCATCTACCAAGCTCCCAAGAGAGCCTGTTTTTCAAAACTTGCCTTGGAAGACTCCAGAAAGATCTATAAAGCTTCCTAACAGCTTCCTTATTAGCCTGTTAACACTCCCAAGGTGTTCTTTCTAAGTTCAGAATAAAAGGTAGATTTGAAAAACACCCAAAGTCCCAAGTTCAATAAATCTTATTTGAAACTTATGAGTCTCGTAGTATGATGCTGATTAGGCAAGTCTTATTCCAGAAAGGCCATGTTTTAAAAATCATATTGGAAACCTTTGCATGTGGGCTGAGAAAAGACGTCCTTTTCATAGGCTTAATACCTATGTTGTATTGATGAATTTATGACATACAGTCATCTCAGCGAATATCCAAATATCCATACCAGAAAGGACAGTGGCCCATGCTGTTGAGGAAGGCCAGGAGAGCTCTGGTGCTATTCAATTTCGTGGGTTCGCTGTGGCCCTCCCAACCAGCTGGGTCAGAGCCTCAGAACCAAGACAAGGGGAATATGGGTTTGTCCTAGCCAAGTTTTGTAATTAGACATTGGTGTGTCCATCATCATTTGTTGAGTTCAATCCTTTATTTCTTTAAAAAGTTATCATCAATGACCAGTTTCTCTTCTTTTTCTAAAATACAATTTATTAGTGTCTCATATGGGGACATATTATGGATTAAACCTCATGTACTATTTTGTGGAACACTTCTGAAAAAATACCTGCTTATTCTAAGGTGTCATCATTTAGCAATACTCAAAATATCATACCTTTCCACCATCACTTTCTTTGATAACCATGTAGGGTTCTGCGCAGTCTCCAATCTCTCCCTGCTGAAGGACTTTTTCAATCTACCAACAAAAGTAACATTAAAAGAAAGCACAAAAATCACATCCATATAATGGAATCTATGCAACCATCAAAATGATGTTTTATGAAACATTTGATGACATTGGGAGATGCCCAGGATATATGCTTTTTGATTAAAAGAATTAGTCTGAAGAGTACTATACAGTTTTATTTTTTTAAAAAAGGCATATTAAAAGGATGATAGTAGATACACAGCAAATGTTAACAGTAGTTATCTTTGTATGGGGGATTACGTACTATTTTTATTTTATTCCTATTGCTTATGTGTGTGTTCTATTTTTAAACAATAAACATGTATTATGCCTACAATAAAAAATGCAATAAAAGTTATTTTATAAAACAAAACCCATGAGACATATGTAGGAAGTGAAAAGCTCATTTTCTTTATTATTGCTTACAATGTAAAAAAGAGATATGGCCACTGTAAAAGTCAGGTTGGGGACTAAAACCTTCCACAAAATGAATAAATGAACAGAATAAATTATCTATAATTGTCTCCCCTGTATTTCCTATTAGGGCTGCTTCTCTTGACTTAACAGACTTGGGAAGGAACTTGAAAGCAGTAAGCTAGGGCAGCTTTTTACTTTGCTAACTGGCTGGTCATATGAATGAATGCTATTACTGTCAAGCATCTTCTTCCATTTTCCTTCAGGTAAAGGATCTGGCTGGCCATAAATCTGGGCACCATGTTTAAGAGAAAGAGAAGCAGAAATTGGAAATTTCCTAACCCTCTGCTCAAAGAAAATTTAATTTAACTTAGATGTTGAAGACAAAAACCAGTAGATTAAGTCCCATTAGCCTGTGTCATTAGTCGGGGTGATCCTTGAAGAATAAATTTGGGTCAACATATTGCAATAGGCACACAGTCTTAATAGGCTCTATCAGGTGCAAAGAATTTAAATCAGAAATACCGTAGTGATGGAGGGTGTTTACCGGAGTTTCAAAGGAAGTGGCGTGGGGTTGCTCAATGGACATCTGTCTCAAGGAGACTACAAGCAGGAAGTCCCTCTTCTCACAAAGGAAGTTTAAAACCCTTCCAATTGTCACAGCATGAAGACAAAGCTGAGCCCCCTGAGAGATATCCCGGGTTGGGAACACAGACGCATAACACTTGCGCTAGAGACTGAATGGTATTCCTGTTATTCAGCAATCCTTCACTTATTCATTCAAAAACCATTCATTCATTCAAAAAACATCTGTTGAGTGCCTTCCATGTGGTGTCTGCTGGGGAGATAAGGTGGTGAACATGAAAAACCTGGTCCTTTTCTCCTGATGCTCATAGTCAGAAGCATATAGAGCAATTGGAAGGAAGCTAATTTTTCCACGAAGTCAATAGACAAAAACGTGGTCTTTAAAATGAACTTTGAATAGAGATAAAGAACCTTTTAATTAGGACCCTAAAGCGAGGAATGGGAATGCTATGGCTTAATGCACTGGTAGCGTATAGTGTGGAACCCACAGGAGAGGGCTCTCCAGAACCTGGAAGCAGGAGAGGCCAGATTCGACCAGACCAGCAGATACTACTTCCTTCAGCAAGTTGGATAAGAGAAACTGCAGGTATTTCATGAGAAGGAGCCGCAGGCTACTCTGAGAGCCCACTGTATGGTCTTTCACGGTTTATGAGTAAAAGGAAGTGTGAGTCCTCATAGCCATGGCAGGCAGGGAAAGGAGCATATCAGAATTACCTGGGAATTTTTTTAAGATAAAGAGGCTACTCTCTGCCCTATTGGGGAGGGGCTGGTTCAATGCCTGGAACGTCTATTTTTAAAGTTTTAAATCAGATTCACTCTCATCCTTACTCTCCCTCCCTCAATTGAGAAACAAAACCTTTAAGCCTGAAATTAGCCCTTAAAGCAAATATTACATGCCGTACCTAAACTAGCTAACTCCACCTAAAATACAGTTAAGAGCCTGGTGTTCAGTTTGAGAATAAAACTAAGAAAGAAAGAAGCCCCTCTTGATCGAACGGCATCTGCCTGAACGTGCTAAATATTGTAACACCATTTACTATATATTTAGAGGGAAAGAAGTGACAACTATGGCATTAAAGAAAAATAAATCAGAAGCAGACTAGGGACTGTCTTACTGAGTAGATTTAAATTTCTAACTCTATCCAGACAATTTAGAGAATGTTTATTAATGCCAAATGAATCCATTTACACATCTGAAAATTCTGGAATATATTTAGTAAGAAACAGTAACCCACAAGTAGCTGCTGATATCTAGCAGACTACTATGGGTTAGCCAAAACAAAGTCATCCACTGAGAAGTGGAGTTTGAAGAAACATTTGGATGTATAGAACTAGTTTTGGCTTCTTTGGTTTTCCAGGCTGACAGCCAATTTTAAGTTTAACCACAGGGCTGCTAGATGGGCCTTAAGCTGACTTTTCTATATGTCTAAGAAATATCGCAATGAAAAGGACACCCATTGTTTGACAACAATAGATGCGTCTTTTAGCAATAGAATTTTAACTATATTTTCCATAAACTTAAATAAGTTCCCTTCAAGCTATAGTGACCTTTCCGAATCTTTGTAAAATGGTGTAAAGGAAGCTGGAATGGAAAGACATCTGCCACTTGTTAAGTGACCTCCAAGTCGCCTGAGGTTTTTGGAATCTATATGCTGCTCCCATGGGATCATGCAGGAATCAATGAGATTATGGACCTAGAACACTGTGGTGACTAGAAAAGGTTCCAAGCCTGGAATGCCGGGTGTACATGAAATCAAAACACCTGTATTTTTTTTTTTTTTTTCAGTTTTGGGTAAAGAGTCAACGAGACTGATTATTTGGCTTCAGGTAGGTAAAACACTCAATGTTTGTTGTTAACTTCTAACCAGCCATTTTGGTGTATAGAGAAAGTCTGGTTTTCTTACAACAGTGAAGATTGTAAGAATGAAAGGTCCTTCTACTTATAATTGCCCCTCAGATTTTGACTCTCACTAGACCTACTCAGTCTGTGAGATGGTGATGAAAAGGGAGAGTGAAACTTGGAGACTAGAGCCCACACCTCAGACTGTCAGAGCCTGGACTCTGGGACATTTAACTACAGGTCTCTGGGAAAACACGAACATCATTAGGAAACCCTATCCGAGATTTTCTCCACAGCAGCCTCCCGGAGCTGGACAGCTGAGGGCACTTTCCTTGGTTAGGAGGAAGGGCGCCTATCACGTGCCAGGCTTTATTCTGTAATCACAACTGCCCACTGAGGGCGGTGTTATCCCCACTATATGGATGAGGAAACTAAGTCTCAGAAAAGTTAGGTAACTGCCCAAAGTCATAGAACCACCAAGTTGCAAAGCCAGGATTCAAACCTAGGACTTTATGACTCCAAACCCCATACTCATTCTAGTATCTGACACAATTTGCTTGTAAAGGAAAAGGAGTAAGTCAAGAAGGAAATGAAGTGAACATCATGGAGGATGCGTTGACGCGTTCTGACATCTCTTTCACCCCCAACATGCGCGGGGAATAATGCAACAACAGGAGCACCAGAATGTGCAAATGAGGTCGTGTTCAACTACCTTGACTACCAGGTAGATGTCTGAGGACGGGTAGGTGACCGAGAACACCGCAGATCTCGCTTGACTTGACGTGGCAACAGAAGGCGTGTGAGCACGCAGAAATCCCTTGAACTGGTCAGAGTTCAGGTCACAGTGAAAATTTTCTGAGATCTGTAAATGAGCAGCAAAATGAAAAATAAGTTAGACCTGTTGTGCTCATGGTCTGCAGTTGTTAGTAACGAGTTTAAAAAAAAAAAACCACAAAGAAATTTCGCCAAAGGAATAAGTGTAATCATAGATGTGGTTTATGACTAGTGGCTGCTGGAAAATCTGATACATATTTTGTCACAATCTCTAGATATTTTGGAGCCATTGGAGAGATGTTCCTTGAAACATTTAAATTTTTTATCAACTCACCAGTATTTCCTGAATATCAGTGACGTGCTATGCACTGCAAGGAAGTAGAGCTGGACGTTGCCTCTGCCCTCAGTTTACAATCAAGAATGAAGGAAAAGGCAAATATGTCATTATCTACAGTCAGAGTAAAATATGAGTGACTACACTCATACAAAAAAATGCTGTGGAAATTCCAGAGGGCGAGAGATGACGTCCAGTTGGTGTGATCGGGAATGCTTCTCACGGAGGAGGAATGTGAAACGGATGGGCCTTAGAAGAAAATTCTGGTAGGCAGAGCTGGAGGGCGACGGTGTACAGGGAGAGAGTAGTTTAGTTAACAGAGATTAATCCAGCTTGACTTTGCATAGGCTCTGGAGGAAAGAAAGCAGATGAGAGCCATCCTGAAGAAAGGCAGGCATGGAAGCTAAAGAGTTTGTTTTTAATGTTGTAGGTAGTGAGGATTCATTAGAGATTTTGAGCCAAAGCATGACGTGATGAGTGGTCCTTGGCTCACTGGTGAAGTGTTGCTTAAGAGCCACTATATAGCTGGGTATCCCCTTCACCATTCATAGAGCTATAGCTGAAAACTGGCTGCCCAGGCAGAGGCTACATTCACTAGCCTCCCTTGCTCTTAGGAGTAGGCATGTGACTAAATTCTTTCCAATGAATTGTGAGCAATGAAGTGTGGCCTCCATCACCATCTTTTCCCTTTTTTGGGAGCTGCAATGGCAGTGTCAAGAGTGACATTGGGAGAGCACATATTAAAGATGGAGGAGCTGTTGCCAGCTTAGGTTCCTGAATGACTCAGTGGAGCAGACCACTGCTGACCCAGTATCCTCCACCCTGGATTGTTAAGAAACAAAGACAGAAATTTCTTCTTTCAGCCAGCGGTTCTCAAAATGTAGTCCCCATGGGCCGGCCCTGTGGCTGAATAGTTAAGTTCGCGTGCTCGGCTTCGGTGGCCCAGGGTTTCACTGGTTTGGATCCTGGGCGCTGACATGGCACCACTCGTCAGGCCATGCTGAGGCCGCGTCCCACATGCCACAACTAGAGGGACCCACAACTAAAATACACAACTATGTACTGGGGGGATTTGGGGAGAAAAAGCAGGAAAAAAAATAAAGTGACAAATTAAAAAAAAAAAGTAGTCCCCTGATGAGCAGCCTCAGCACCACTGGGGAACCTGTTAGAAATGCACATTCTCAGGCCCAACCTGGACTTACTGAATCAGAAACTCTGGGGTGGGGTGCAGCAACCTGTGTTTTAACAAGCCCTCTAGGATCTCTTTTTTTTTTTTCAAGATTGGCACCTGAGCTAACAACTGTTGCCAATCTTCTTTTTATTTATTTATTTTCTGCTTTTTTGCCCCAAATCCCCCCAGAACTTAGTTGTATGTTTTAGTTGTGGGTCCTTCTAGTTGTGGCATTTGGGACACTGACTCAACATGGCCTAGATCCAAACCTGCGAAACCCTGGGCCACCGAAGCTGAGTGCACAAACTTAACTACTCCGCCACAGGGCTGGCCCCGGCCCTCCAGGATTCTGATGCATGCCCAAGTTGGAGAACCACTATGGAATTTGGGGTCTCTTTTTGTAGCAGTTAACCTGCCCTAACTAATGCAAATCTCAGTGATTATTAATATTTACTCAAGAGATACACACTTCCTTAAACGCTGAATGGCTGTGGGTAAAGGGGGGCAGAACCATCCCTCTCTGGTTTTGCTGTTTTCGCCCTCCTCTAGGAGTCACAAAATAAACATTAAAACACTCATGGAGAAGTCTTAGGGCCTTGAGTTCTTTTCAATTAAAAGCACATTACAGTTGGTGAAGTCTTCACCCTGTGGCAATTTTGGACTTTTACTGCACAAGACGCCTTCCATTCACGATGAGGCTATTTCACAATGCCAAAAACTCCCAAACCAAGGAAACATCACATGCATATCTGAGCTTGTTAAAAATGTACTTAAATCGCTTTGTTTGACGTGTAATCTCATACACGGCTATTTCATTTATCTCTCTATCCCAACCAGGCCACCATCTCCAGCAGGCCTTTCCCGTAAAGATTCTCCAAAGAACATAAATGACTAATGTTCCCAGATCATTCCTTCAAAAACTGCAAAGGCAATAGAACTAGACACATCAAAGGTCATTTGCTCTCAAATTGAGAGCGTTTTAGCTGCATTAGAGGTGAGATTTAAAAACATGAACCCAAAGAATCATGAACAATATGTGTGCCCTCAGGGATGGGTTATTTTTTGCTTTCTTACCTTTTTCCTTTCTTTGACATCATAGAGGGCAATGCTGGCAAAGAGAGGCTCAATTTCAATCTCAAACCTGTCGGAGAAACAGAGAAAAATCTATATGGTTTTAACTGAGGTAATTTTGAATTTTCTGGAAGTGCTTGGATCTATAAACTGGTTAAAAATGTAAATAGTTTCCAGAAATATTTGGATAACTCCATGCATATGAGAATCATACTAGGATGTTAATGGACAAATATGGGAGATTCATGAAGATTCCTAATCATTTGAGATCATGGTGGATGCCACATTCTCTTAAAAAACTCTTGTTGGCGGCCCTGCAACAGAGAGTAGGGTAGAATGGATCCAACATGGCGCTTCTAATCACCGCAGCTGCTGTGTTTTCAGAGGGTAGAGTCTCTGTCTTAGGTAAAGGTCTTGTTTACAGTTTACGTTTTAGTGCTGGAATAGGAATCCCTCTTACTCAATTCTAAGGGATGCGACTTTCCAGCTAGTGAAAAAAAAGTTCAGTTGCTTTTCCTTAGAATTCATTGGGACCATCAGAGGAAAGTTGGGTTGTGACATGGGCAAATGTCTGGCCCTCTCTAACTCCCCTGCCAGGGGGACGTGCTGAGTTGAAGGCGGGGCAGGGGACTGAGCACTGTCGATAAACACTGAAGTGGGTGGAGCCAAGGAGAGCCTGAAAGAGGAGCCCTCTTGTTAGCCCTAATTGCTCCTCTCCCTTGAAATGGTGGGTCTGAAGAGAACGCATCCCCAAAGCATAATCCTGCCACATGTTACAGGAGCACTTGAAACACAGATGTGCACCTTCCAAGTTTCTCTGCTTAACAGTTGCCATGACCTTGGACACTGCCAGCTGAGAGCACCAGTAATCAGGCCCTGGACCACTGTTCCCACAGAAGTCATGCAAACTAGGCGGAATTTTGTTTCAAGGTGTGTGTGAGAGGATGATCTTATCATTGGATAGCTTTGTCTAAAAAGAAGACCTTTTCAGAAGAATATTTAGGCAGAGGTAAGCACAGACAAGAGTCACTTGGTCAAATGGCTTCTTTGGAAATGAGCCAGTTGAGAATGATGGCCGACTCACAGAGCACAGGGCTTTGGTCCCTCTCCCACCGCCTGCTAATTGGGATCCTAATTAGGTTTTTCACCTTTCCCAGTTCCATTTATTTATCTGTAAAATGAGGAAAAGACATCTGCTCCTCCCATTTCCCAGGACTGTTGCAAGGACCGTGAAAGATAATGTGTGTGACTGTACTTTAAAAACAATGTCAAGAATAGCATTATCCAAAATAGCCAAAAGGTAGAAGGAACCCAAGTGTCCATGGAAGGAGGAACGGATAAACAGAATGTGGTATATGCATACAATGGAATATTATTCAGCCTTCAAAAGGAAGGAAATTCTGACACAAGCTGCAACATAGATGACCCTGGACGACATTACGCTAAATGAAACCAGTTACAAAAGGACAAGTCTTGTGTGATTCCACTTCTATGACGCACTCAGAGTAGTCACATTCACGGGAACAGAAAGCAGAATGGTGCTTACCAGGAGGAGAGAGGGATGGGAATTATTAAATGGGTACAAAGTTCCAGTCTGGGAAGATGAAAAGAGTTCTGGAGATGGATGGTGGTGATGGTTGCGCGACAATGTGAATGTACTTAATGCCACTGAACCAGACACTGAAAAAAGGTGAAGATGGTAAATTTGATGTTATGTATATTTTGCCACAACAAACAGTGTCAAGGATTCTATGATTATTCTTTTTATCATTAGGTAGTAGCACATTAATAGGGGCTTTACTATGTCTAGGCTCACCAGCTACTGCCTGGCATGGTTGATCTGTATTTAACTGTGTGAATATTGTTGTGATCTACTTAGGTAGGTACTGAGTGTTAAGTTCTCTGTGGTTGAGAGAAAGCAAAAGAGAATTAATCTTTGTCGCATACAATTGTGCTGTGATAAATGCTTTACACATGTCAATTCCTTTATGCTTCACAACAATAGAATGATGCAGACCTTATCCTCATTTTTGAGGTTCAGAAAGATAAAGTAATTTGCCAAAGCCCACAAGATTAGGAACTGGCACACTTGGGTTTCGAGCCCAGCCCTTTCTGATCACAGAACCTGAGTTTTTCCTCCAATGTTTCTCCAAGTTAGTCCCTAGAAATTAGCATTTTTGAAGCAAATGAGGAATTTGTCAAAATGTAGCTTTCTTTGTTCCTCCTGAGATCTATTGAACCAGAATCTCTTGGGTGAAATGGTGGTGGAAGGTCTCCCCAAATCTGTATTTAAAACAAGCTTCCTGGGTAAATTTTACACACACTAAAGTTTCACCACCAAGAAGACTCCTTCAAGCCGAGGGTACTTTGCATAAGATGGTATTAAGTTTTACATCGAAATATTTCCCCTCTTAAAATACAAAACAGAAAAATACTTTGTTGTCATCTCTTTTTTTCCTTGCTGCTACAAACATTTGCAGCATCTGCACCAGCCTAATTCTTTCCGTAAGCTTGAGGCTTTAAAGATTTCGCAAAAGAAAACAGTGACCATTACAGATCTCAACAATTTTTTAAAAACTCTCTAACTGATAAAATCGATAGTCATATGAATAGAATTCTGCATGTCAGTGTCAATGGGGAAATGAGTTTCTTTAACATTATCATCAAATTTTTACTATTCATATTTTAACATTCTAGGTTCACCTTTGAGAACTTGCTTTCTTTCCTTTATCCAGTTATTCAAAGCATTTCTAGCTAGGACAGTGTCTTCAGGTCGTCGTTCCTCTTGCAGGTATATGTTGGCATGAATACTACTTAAGACACTTGAGCAGGCCAAGTGCATTGAGCAAACACCTCCTTTCTACTTAATTTCTGCTTTGGCAGTTGCAGGAAGAAATCACTAGAAGCTACACTTCACAATTTTCATCAAGAGAAATCCAAGTGACTCGATTTGTTTTTTCATAATACACATCTAGCTCAGTGGCCGCGTTTTCCCACCTGTGAGAACAGCTGCTGGTTATTTATTGGAAAGATGACAGAAAGAGGGGAGAATTCCTCCAATCCTGAAGGGCACGGTGACTGCATCTGAAAGGGGCCTGGTGTGCTTCCTGTGGGGATGGTGAGGGCCTCAGACAATAGGGGGGACTTCCTGAGCAACGCAGAGGGGAATGGAACTGCCACTTCCACTCAGGCCTCCTGCGGACGGGCTGGGGGTTCCCACCCCGGGTCAGCTCAAAGGGGCTGGAGTTGGCCGTTCTGTAGCCTTCCTTGCTGCAGAGCTGGCTTACAGACTATTCCTCTCTGTGTACAAGACCAAAGGCCCTGCTTCTCTCCCCTGCTGGGAGGACTGGCTAGAGGAGGGGGCTGCAACTTCAAGAGAGCCCCCACAAGTGTGCGTGCAGTCCTGCTGGCTTACCTCCTGCGGGGAGGAGCTGCGGAGGCCAAACCTTAGAATCAGAAGTTTACGGCAGGTAGGAACTTCGACACCCACTGGTCTAACAACTTCCTTTACAAGGGACAACTCATAATCCTAGAGGAGTCCCCAGGGTTGAGACACAGCCTGAATCCACAGATGCCCTAACTGCAAACTAGGTGCTGCCTAGAGGTCCATGAATGGACTTCAAGAGATGGACGACCTTCCTAACAGGGGACGAAAAAAATGTCATGCTTATGTACCTTTGCCTCCACAGGGCATTGATGACCTATTATTTTCAAAAGAGTCTGTGCTTTGAAGAAGTGGAAGAACTACTTCTCAAAAGCAGCAGTTGGCAAAGAGAAATGAGAGGTATGCGAGCACTCCAGGGGTAGGCAAGACAATCCATGGGAGAGCAGGAAGAAAATGCTACGATTTATTTGGATTTATTTGGTTCATCCTTTAAAATTTCTCATGTATGTATGTTTCATAATATATATACAATATTTAATATGCAAGTACAAAATTAATACACACGTATAGAGGACATGTGGGTTTTTTTTACTGTAAAAGTAAACAATCAAAAAGTTTAGAGAGCCAGCCCCAGTGGCCTAGTGGTTAAGTTCAGCGTGCTCTGCTTTGGCAGCCCAGGTTTGGTTCCCGTGGCAGACCTATACCACTCATCTGTTAGTGGCTATGCTGTGGTGGTGGCTCACATACAAAAAGGGGAAGATTGGCAGTGGATGTTAGCTCAGGGCAAGTCTTCTTCAGCAAAAAAAAAAAAAGTTTGGAGAGAATTGCTTTAAAGTAAATGTGGCAAATAATTGGCTCACAGATGAATGCAGATGGCAGATATGCTTTGAATTGTGTGATACTGAAAAAGGAAACAAGAAAATATCTAAGAAGTCAGGAAATTATACAGAAAAATGTGGATTTTCAGCTTCTCTTAAAAAAAATCAGACTATTGACCAAAATGGGCTTGTTTACTTGAATGGCAAGAATCTGCCCTAGCTAGTAGTGGGCGTTGCCCTAAAGGTAGTTTGCTACAGTCCCCACTACTCCCTCCTGTCCCCTGGCCTTGAGTATTAGTTGCATTTTTCACTGTGTTTCAACAGTGGCGTGCTGGTAAATGTTTAGCAAACAAGTCTCTGAGAAAAAAAAAATAGGCTCTAATTTGTAGCATTTTCTGCTTTCTATGTTGTAAATACTTCTACCATGGCCAGTTTCAAGCTACCAACGTGACTTGACTGAATAAAGAGTTAGGAAGAGAAGCGCACAGTCAGCTCGCAGGAGTTAGAGCTGATTCCAGCACACCACTGGCTTTCACTGTTAAATTTTTCTTAATGTAGGCCATTTCGCTCAATTACTTTCCATGCCTAATTTTAGTGTTAGCCTTCCCTATTACAAAAGAAAGACTGTCCAAGACTTGGTAGGAATAGAATCTGAGTCCAGCTGACTCTGAACTCTGCTCTTTCCACTGCCTCACAGCTGCCCACTGCTGACAGTGTTGGGAGATCCTCCCTCATGCAAGCTCTGGTGATAAAGACACAGTTTGTGTCTAACAGACAAGACAAACCTCAGGGAGGTGGTTAATATATTTGCTGATACTTACTTCAGGGTCAGCAACTTGACCAATATTCTGTTGCCCAGATGTTCCTTAGGACATTCTGGTACCGGACGTATTTCCACAGCATCCTCCTATTAATCACATTGGAAAAGAAATCATTAGTGAATTTCCATGAAGAATTCCAGTTGGAGTTAACCCAGGCAAGGGAAGGCTGCCATCCACTGCTCAAGACAACTTGCATTTGGTTTATTTCTAATAGTAGAATAACAGTGACTTTATAAGAGAGTTTATTAACCAACCGCCAAGCTCCCAAGTCAGCATGTCCAGCAAACATTTTCTCCTTCCAGAAAGCCAAGCATTTAAGACAAAGAGACCAAGGGAGGAAGGAAGGAAATGTGAAAATGGATATGGCTTAGTAACATCCACCAGATGGCATCGCAAAATCTTATACCTATTGTTTTCTTTTTTTTTTTTTTTGCTGGCTCTAAGTACACATTCCTAATATTTCTCCTGCCAAGGGCTTTCCTAGTAAATATGTGAGTTTCAGCCTTGAGATCTGAGTCAGGATAGCTCACTTAAGGCTGTAAGCCATCAATCCTAATGCAGAGCACCTTTCTCAGTTCACTGTTTTCTTAAACAGATGACAGAGATTTGGGTTGAATTTATAGGTTTTATACAGACAAGTCCAAATAGAACTTGCTAAAGTTCTAAGTATAGGAAAGCTTAGGAATGACAAATTAAGAGATATACCTGTCTATTTTACCACAGAGGGACTAAAGACTTAAAGAGAAATATCAGGTCGCCATTGTAACTTTTCATATGCAAATCTGAACTATCACAGTATCTTAATTATATTCACGTACGCTAAGTTCAACAGTATAAGTGCCTGAAAACATTAATTCCTGCTCTTGCAGTAGGCTATCGAAACACTGGTGAGTGGTCTGCAGTCTAATTGTATTTTCCTGGGCTGTAAATGATGGGAGCTTCCCGCCAAATACCCCACAGCAACCATAACGTTTTATAGCAGAAAAGTTCACCTTCTTGGTAAATCTGTACCCAGTTTGATGGAAGAGTCAACTTTTCTCCCCGGGAAATAAAGGAATGATGATATAAATAATTTCATCAATGTTTTGTCAAAAAATCGATATTCATAATCATTTCATGGTAGGCCAGAAATTTACCTTTCTTCTACAGGACTTTCTTTGGAGAAAGTACAAATTACAAGTACAAATGCAACCTCTGTGTGTTCAACATCTTCAAGGGCTGGTATAGGGGGCCTCAAGCACTTTAGACATAGCAATTTACAAATAACTGGTACACTAATTACAAAGCATTCCCCTCCACTAATAAAGCAGGCCCCGTTAGGACCTCTGTTGGATTATAGCACCTGTCAGTCTCAACATGAGTTTCTGCCGTGTTTCAAAGACCATAAAACAGAGTTGCTTCAAAACAGTCTATGAGTCATTCTTGTGATCAGTTCAAGAGTGGATATCCTCCCATTTAATCCCATGAGGAGACTAACGAGCTGATGCCTCTCTGGAAGTATTTTCTTCACCTTTTAACTGTCATCTCTCTTCTGGTGTCCACTTTGGGTCTCTTTCTTACATGTTGGCACCCTCCCATGGAATTGGAAGAGGAACGCAAGTGAAGGTCAAATCAGTCACATTTAATATTTCTTGACAAATCTGGTAAAAAGTTTTAAAGCTATAGATGGAAACTGAAAAGTTATAAGATGTGATTGTTTATAACATCTTTGGATTTCCATTACCTGTACTAATATACACCAGGTAGACATGCAGATAACTAGGCAAACATGAAATTTGAAGTTAATAAGTTAGGAGCCTCATTCTATAATTTAATTTGCTTGTTGAATCTTGAATAACTTATTTAACCTCTCTGATTCTTACTTTGCAATCTGAAGGATGGAGATGATAACACTGCCCACCTTATTCATGTTTATTTTTAATCTGCCTCATTCAGAAAAGGATTTGTGGCCACTGACAATAAAAAAAGGATTTGAAGCCCCTGGGAATAAAATAAATAGATGAGAAAACCAAGGTGGCTGGAAAAATATGGATAAAAAAAAAAAGAAAGCTGAAGTAAATTCAGGACACCAATAAGCAAGCCACTAGATTTAGCAGAGGTGAACAGAAATTTGACTCTAAGTAAAGAATTTAGGAGAGTCAGTTACAAGATGTGCAGAATCTCTAAGTGTACATATTTTCCCAGTGGAAGCACAATTCTTCTTTGTCAGAAGGCTTGAAGGACAATTTCCCTTTGGATCCTCATTGAAGCGGGTGCTGGATGATGAGCAGGTCAATGTCCTTAATAATATTTTCACAGTGGACATGATATCATACTCAGGACTACTGTTTCCTCTATTGTCCTTTTTGCTGACCAGTGGTCAGCCCATCAAAGGGCAAGTCAGCGGACCCAGTTCTCGGGGGTAGGGAGGCGGGCTTTACAGTGTGAGAATCGGAGTCCCTAACGGTCTTGCTTGATCCAAAGATCAAATTTCAATACTTAGAGGCATGGATGGATGGCATATCTTTTACACAAAATTTCTCCAAATCTTATTTCTTGCAACTAAACTTTTAAGAAAATTTGGACAGTGGAGATATTACAGTAATTTGTTCTGCCAAGACCGAGGAGCAACGATATTCTAACATGCACAAGAGAAGACTGGGAGACTCATAGAAAGTATAAGGAGCTACACAGGCTTGAACGATGGTCATCCATCATCCCATCTGAAGTGCCCCAGCGAATGACCACAGGCAAAGCCCAACCTGTCACGTTGTTCTGGATCAGTTCCAATAGATAACGAAGTGGATAATCCTGGTCCCAAGATTCTATGCATTTGGAGCACAGCTATGATTATGTCAGCCTGGAATGTTTTCAAAGCAAGTCTCTCAGGTTGTTCATAGCGACCATTAAAAAAAAAAAAATCTTAACAAAGCACTAACGAACATCAAGGTTTAAGTAATACATGTCTTGATGGATTCAATGTAAACACACCGCCAAATAACAGAATGGTTTGACTCGCTGAGTGGGATTACTGCATGTAGACCCCGGAAATGTTTTTAGGACTAAATGAGACAATATCAGTGAAAGTGTTTTCTAAAGTGTTATGAAAATTCTAGTTATTATTGGAATCTCATCTGTATGAGGGTGGGTAATTGGCTCTGCTATCATACAGGCTTGCCTCAGTGAAAAAGCCCCAGAAATCATACAATTAAGCATCCGGACATTGCTATACAGTAATAGTATCTTCCTCGAGACTCTCTGTGTCTTCACTGACATTCTCCAGCATGGAGATGGTCGCACCCACCTCATCCACTGATGGGTAAAGGGCAAAGAGCTCGGCCTGCCGATTGGTCCTGCGGGCCTCCTCATTCTGCTTCTCGAAGTCCTCGGCACTCACGTGCTGCAGGAGGTTTTCCAGACGCTGGTCAGGCGGCAGGCTGCGGAGGTCAAAGTCGCAGGCAGTGAGGGGACCTTTTCCAGACACATCACACAGCACGTTTAAGCGGCAGCGGGGGCCTGTCTGTGAGAAAAGACAGCTTTGTGAGAGAGAGCGGGGGTCTAAAATGAGAACTAAAGCATCGAGGACGTCTCAAGACTGCTCTAAGGTGGGGCGACAGAATCCGCCTCAAGGAGGTTCTGAACAGGCTGAGCGTTTGACAAGAATGACATCCTAGTGTCCTGGCCTGAGTATCCAAAAATTAAACATCCTCTTCCCACCTGGAAGCAGGTAATTACTCATCGGAGGTAGATAAACCCATCCGTGAGCGAAGGTTTGAAAAGAGCACTGTGTTCCTATTAGTTGTGACGTGTTCTTTTCTGGAGATTGGGAGCCAAGTCTCTGATGAAGCTCGCTCATGCCTCAGGCCCTAGCAGAACAGAACTGCACAAGGTGGTGCCAAAAGGAGACGGGACTAGGGAACAGAAGGACCTCATCCGAATCTCAGCTCCAGAACTCGGTTTTTGAAACTGGAAAATAAGATGATCTGTGAGGAGCCTTCCAAACTAAACTTTATATAAACTCCAAAGCTGAATATTATGTTTCCAAAGACATAATGTTCCCATGTTTCCAAAGACGTAGTGTTCCCGTGTGAGCACGGGAACACTTTTCTACGGGACTTTAGTTAGACCAATAAGCACCAGAACAAAAGAAAGGCAAAAGAATTTGCTATTTGAGCAGGGTCCACGTTTAGCTGCGGTGTGTTCGGAAAAAACTGTCTTAAATCAGTCACAAAGTGGATGTTTTATTCCATTAGGAATGTCTTGGAAATTGGGAACTGCATACCAGCCAAAGACTTGGCAAAGAATATATAACTGTAATCAACAATATGTCCTAAGAATATAGATGGTTCTATTATAAACATCTATACAATTAATGGTAAATGTTATCCTAAAGTTCTACCAAATGGACATACTACTATACAGTTTCTTTACAATATAGACTTTTTTTTTTTGGATGAGGAAGATTGGCCCTGAGCTAACATCTATTGCCAATGTTCCTCTTTTTGCTTGAGGAAGATTGTCTCTGAGTTAACATCCATGCCAAACTTCCTCCACTTTGCATGTGGGATGCCACTACAGCATGCTTGATGAATGGTGTGTATGTCTGTGCCCAGAATCAGAACCTGCAAACTCTGGGCCACCAAAGTGGAGTGTGCAGACTTAACCACTATGCCACTGTGCCGGCCCTCTACAATATATATTTTTTGTGCCATCTATCTATCTCATAAAAATGCTACTCTGCTAGATCATAAATTTTACCTAAACTGAATGTGTTAGCAATAATCAATATTTATACTTTAATTATTAACACTTTTGTTTGTTTTAGAATATATGAGAGCCTTGGGAAAATGAACTGGATTTTCCAATTTCTTTAGAAGGATGTCAAGATATACATATATCCTTAAAGATATACATATTTTTCATCTGGAGAGGATGTATATATCCAGAATTTATTCTAAGGGTATAACTGGACAAGTGAACAAAGATGTGAGGACAAGAGCATCTCTGAAATGTTGCTCGTAATAACAAAATAATAGAAACAACCTACATGCCCCTCTGAAAGAGGAAGCATTAAGAGATTTTAGAATTTTCATACAATGAACATTACGCAGCCATTAAAAAAAAAATGTATCCACTGGAAGAGAAAGATGATCACAGCAGATTGTATTATTAATATGAAAAAGGAATTTATATAATATTATGTATATGATTTAATCTTTATGAAATATATGTGTATCGTAGAGTCATATCATATATATATTTAACTCATGTAAATTAAGGCATTGGGCCTCACCATTCCGCTCAATAGGAAGGGGCGCAAGAATGAGAGTGGAATGGAAGATGCTGCTGGTCATCTCACAGTTTGAGCATCTCTCTGTGATGAGTATTAGTCTAATACTTAAACACACATGTGTATAACTTGACTCTGACACCCAGCCAAGGACTTAACTGAGTCCTCTGGAGGAACGAGTGTGCTTCATGGGTGTGCCGGTCATCCACCTATTGTCTCTCAGCTCCAAATTTACACTTTTATACTCTGCTTTGTCATGCTGGGCCCGGGTCTTAGCAAATCACATTTTGTCTTTGCCATTGCTCCCTTTAGGTTCTGCCAATAGGGGTGCTAGAGAGAGTGGATGGCTGGAGGAGGGAGAAGGGACTGGCTTCTTCCTCTGTGCTGACAGCTCCTCTCACCTTGGTAGCGGCAGTTGGTTTCTAGCCTTGAGCTTCTTTTTGCACTTCCAGGACCATCCTCCTCTTACCTCCTTGGAGGTACCAGAACCAGCCGGACAATTCCTCCTTCTAGGAGGTCAGAGTTCAGACTCCCAGACTCTGTGAGATCTTTCCTCTGAGATCCTGAGATAATACCACAGGCTAGGCCCTGCTCCCTCCTCAGAGATTTGAGTCCTAGCTCTGAGGCCCATCTTGTGAGCATCTACGTTCTGATAATTCCAAGTGATTCCCATTAGACCTGTGGTTCTCAAACATGGTCCCAGGAGCAGCAGCATCTGCATCTCCTGGGAAATGCTAATTAGAAATGCAAATTTTCAAGCCCCACTCCAGACCTAGTGAATCTGAAACTCTGAGTTGGGGTCCAGCAATCTGTGTTCAAACGAGCCCTCCAGGGGATTCTGATGAAGCTAAAGTTTGAGAACCACTGCCCTGGACCGCTGTCCCAGGGGGATGCACGGTTTCCTGCAGGTACCATTTCTGCATGGCTTCCATTTTCCTTTTTGGTTCTCTCAGTCCTCCAAAAACTGTTTAACCAATTCCCTATGTTAAATTTCTTCTGTGGAAATACCTAGCGTGGCTTCTTTCTGACTGTTACAAGGAACAATTTAGTTGGTCATCATGTACAGTGAAAACTGAACTTAGTCAAAATTACCAAAGAAAAATCCCTTAAATTTCCCATAGAGTACAGAATACAGATATATATGTAGGCCTCAGTGAGCCTGCCATGGTCAGCTCTAAAATTAATGGCTGATTCTTCTATGGAGCTCAGATTAAGTAGTTGGCTTGGCTGTAGAGACTATGTTGTTTGGAAAACAGGTATTATTTTAAAACTTTCTAGTTATATTCAGCTTGGGGAGATGCTTGTGTTGTGGGGGCACTTGAAAGCTGAAAACTATATTGTTTAAGAAAAAGTCTTTGTGCAAACTTAGACAAATTTCCTCTTCTCTGTTTTATTTTTCTCATCTATAAAATAGGCAGGTTGAACTAAATTACTAACTTTTCAAAATTTTGTTTTAAATTGTGGTAAAATATACATAATAGAAAATTTACCATCTTAACCATTTTTTAGTGTACGGCTCAGCAGTGTTAAGTGCATTCGCAGTGTTGCGCAACCAATCTCCAGAACTCTTTTCATCTTGCAAAACTGGAAATCTATACCCATTAAACAACAACTCCCTAGTCCTCCCACCCCCCTCAATCCCTGAAAACCACCATTCTACTTTCTGTCTCTATGAATTTGTCTACTCTAGGTTCCTCATATAAGTGGAATCATATAGTATTTGACTTCTCATGCCTGGCTTATTTCACTTAGCACAATATCCTCAAGCCTCATCTATGTTGAGGCATGTGTCAGAATTTCCTTCCTTTTTAAGACAGAATCATATTTCATTGTATGTATACACTACATTTTCTTTATCCATTCATCTCTCTACGGACACTTGGTGTCTCCACCTTTGGCTATTGTGAATAATGCTGCTGTGAACACAGGGAGAGAGAGCACTGACTACTAAACGGTAATCCTCCTGTAATAATGTTAATAATGACAACAACAATAACAGTAGCCACCATTTACTGGGCACTAAGTGTGAGCTGGTATTATTCTAAATGCTTTACACATATTAACTCATTTAATACTCAAACAACTGCATGAGTTAGTTACTGTTACTATCCTTGTTTTCCAGGGGAGGAAACGGAAGCCCAGAGACTTTACTAATCCTGCCTGGGGCTATAGAGTTAGTACGAGGTAGAGTCACAAAGAGAACCCAGGCAGTCTGTCTTAGTCAGTGCAAAGCTTTTAATCATCCTGCAGCCTGTTCAGGGGCACCACCGAGTCTCCACAAGAATCCTTATAGGGATGGCCCAACGCCTCCTCCCCGCAATTAGAACCCCTCCACTTTTATCTATTTTAATTATTGAGCTTCTAGGTTTTCATTTGAACACCAATTTCTGTAGCTACAAACAAGTTTGAAAAAAAAATTCACTGACTCAGACAGTGGAGTTCCTCCCACTCTACCGATCTCAGTCTAGCCTTTCTTCTAGATTAAAAAAAAAAAAAATCAATTGACAGCATGCCATGGGCAGAACAGCCCAGTAACCTGGTAACCATGTTTGTTGATAGGAAATACCTGGGCACTGGGCTCACTGCCCTCCAAGGTTTCTGACTCAAACGTCTGTTTCTGAAGCGTCTTGTGAAAATCTTTTCGGGATCCAGTCTTTTTAAAGCCGCAAATCTCCGAACTTCCTTGGTTTCTTTTATTGTTGTTATTATATAATTCAGAGAGAGAGAGAGAGAGAGAGAGAGACGTGCAAAACCATTAAATTAAAAATAAAAGTAATGGCTTAAGTATAGACAGTGTGCTGAAAGATCTTGCAAAGAGATGACCAATTGTAATTCCTCACATCCAATTATGCACCAGCCCTGACACAAGGCTCTCTTGTAATGAGACACCAGCTTGCCTCCTGGCTGGCTCATTATTAAAGGCAAGGAATGGCCTGGGAAAATGCCACTTCAGAGGTGCGGTCATTTCAGCTGTAGGGCATTTGGCTCCAAGTTGAAGCTAAACTATGACCCTAGTGTAAGAGGCTGGAATAAATCTAGCAATGTGCAGAAGCAGCAAATAAAGATCGTTTGAAGACAAAAATAGAGGCAAACATTTCATCTCCACATCCATGTTCTTAATAATGAATAAAAAAGGCAGGACATAATTAAGAAAAAATAGAAATAAATGATTTATACACTGAAAATCTTTGCTAACATTCTCAATCTCCACTCCATACACTCCATTGAAACTGGGTTTAAAAAATGCGTGGCTATGGAAAGAGCTTAAAATATAATGTCTAGCACTGTCACTGGAGAAAGAAACTAGACCATTATGAAAAAAGCAATAGATATAAGTTGTCAAATAATAACTATAGAAACCAATGTGTGTATTCCCCATTTTTATGACTCAAAGGCTTCCTGGAGAACATGCGGCAAGGTCAACCACACAAACTTGCACCTGTTTTGTTTGATTTCCCACACTATTAGAAAAGCCATTGAGCACATTGATAGATGGACATGAAATGAGGTTAGGATTTATTAGGCAGATCAAATGGGAGAGAGACAAAGCAGGAAATGTAGGAGAGTTAGTAGCAATGATCCTAATACAGACTTTATCACTCTTTGGGAGGAGTGAAGTGTTGGGTTATGCACAATGGCACAGAACAAGTATTCAATAAATTTTAGTTGATTGAATTAATTAAAGAAAAAATAAGATGTCCCAGTATCATCTGAGGGAGAGCAAGACTCTGTCCTTGGATTTTATTGTGCTCTGAAGACGAGCAATTTGTTTTGAGCAAAAGGAGACAAGAAATAGCCTAGAAGAGAGACAAGACAGTCTTGGTGACTAATAAAAGTCAAGGTTTATTGTACATGGCCATCTTCAACATCCTGGCTGTTCACGTTGCCCTGACCAAAGCTGCATTGACAGGGCTGGGTGAACAGCAGGCGAAATTGGGGAACTGAAAAAACAAGTAAATGACTAAGGTGCACTCTAAATAAGGAAATAAGACTAAACATTTAGAAAGGATTTCAAGAGAAACATCCAGCATAATTTCTGGCTTGCGATCCCTACACAGCAGCAAAGTAAACACAATTTAAAATATAAATCATGTTCTTCATAAACATCAATTAACAAGAAGAATTTGGGGGTACCCTTTTAAATAATTCCTTGGAAGCAACAACTATTTAAAATATTTAAGAAAATGACTTTGGTTCCAGTTGCTCTAAGTGTGCAAATGGCAGTGTTAAAAGGAGTACATACATGTGTGAGTAAAATTTATTTTATATTATAATATTTATTTTCTATTAACAGAGATCTTTGAGAGAAAGCCCCACATGGGATTTCATAAACATGTTGGCTTCTTTAAAGTTATTTTCACCAGTATAAATTTAGGCAGCAACGTGTATGTGTGTGCTGGATGGGTAGGCTTTCCTAATGCATAAAATGACTTTTTTGGACTCTCCCTAAGGATTCAAAGAAAAAGGTGCATGTGATATAACATCCTGGGGAAAAACCACCCAACTGAAACAAGTAGCAAATATTAAGTTCCAATCTAAGATTATACTACTCCTGTAATTGCGACACAGTGAAACACTGATTATTTTTCCTGAAAAATCTAATTTTTAGGGGAAAAATCCCAAAGGAATTAATTAACATAAATTCGTTCTATAATCGAAAGCAAACAGTGAATTAAAATTCAAATATCACACTTCAGTATCTGCCCTTTGCTTTTCTTAGGGCTTGTACACTCCAAAGGGTATCGATGTCACAGGTTCACTGTCACATGTCTCCTTACAAGGAAGGCTGCTAGAGCCCCAGAAATAAGAATCAAGAAGCAGCCAAGCTTAAGCCCTTATGTGCCTTGGCAACCAGAACTCTATCTGCTTTAGCTTTATTTCTTGTCTCATAAAATGCACCTATTTCCACGACTGTTTCCTTAGAAGTGAACACAAACACACACACACACAACTACAGCTGTGAGCCTGCCTCTGTCATCCTCAAGTCACTTCTCTTGGCGCCTCTCTTTCTTAATAGGTGAGGCATGGACATGAGGTGAATTCTAGGGTATTTCCTCCATCTTTAAGATTTCACAATGAAAAGTTCACACATGACAACTGAAAATATTCATATCAATTTTCTTCTCAAAAGATGCTTAAATTTGGGAGAAATTAAATTGATTTGGCTATCATTCTTTTGCTACTTGATGCAAATGGATGCTTTCCTTTTTGTCCTCTGTTTTGTTAGAATGTTTTCTGGAATTCTTTCCATGGACCCCAAAGACATTGACAAATGGGCATTTAAAAAAACTGAGTTACAGAACAATGTTAAAAGTTCATTTTGCAGTATTCACATTCTAACCAATATACGTGCCAAGCCTCAGAATTTTGGGCATGGAAAGCATTAAGACTAACGTATTCCATGACTGTACGTTTGAAACCAGAGCAAACCTCTCTCTCCTTCCTCATTCTAGATTTAACCTCTACTTCTCCATTTTAAAATTTCAGAAAGTTGCAAAGCTCCCTTGCAGCAGCAAGGGTAAAGCTGGCTGGGGAGGAGACGACAGGGGTTGGCAAGCATGTAAGGATGACTCATTCCAGAAGCGCCAGCCACAGAAGGCAGAAACCACCACTGGGTAGGTAGAGAGATTGCTGGCTAAGTGCCACCAGAGTCCCAGCCTCATTGCCCAACCCAGGCAACTGAGCCAAAGAAAGCCATGTTCCTGTTGAGCCTATCTGCAGACAAGAGAGAGATGGGGAAGCAACCAAGTGGTGGAGAGGCAACTCTTAAGAAATGAACACAATCTACTGCTTCTCAAGAGAGCTGCGTTCATTTTCTTCAAACACTATTGTTACACATTTGAGGACAAAGACTAAACATATTTTGAGAGCATTCTCTGTAGGGGCAGTGTGGTGGAGTAGACAGAATCTGGGCTCTAGAGTCCAGGACCTGGGTTCAGGGACTGGCTTCTTATGTATTGGCCATGAGACCCTGGGCAAGAGACTTAATCTCTCTGAGTTTCCTCAAGGGTGAAATGGAAGGAAACGTTGCTCATTTTGAAGGCCTATCGCAAGGACTGGAAAATAATACATGCTCCTCTTTTTCTTTTTCCTCTTCTCCTTCCCATACCTTTTCCCTTTCTTTCCTGTCCCTTCCTGTACAATTTGATGCAAAAACCATCAGAACAAGGTAGGCATCCATGCCTCAGGGTGGGGAGAAGCTGAGGAGTCCCAGAATGGGAAGTTGAAGGCCAAACAGGGTGAAGAGGGCACACATGTAAAAGGGCTGCCTGGCTGGGGAGGCCCCATGGCCGAGTGGTTAAGTTCGCGCACTCCGCTGTAGGCGGCCCAGTGTTTCGTTGGTTCGAGTCCTGGGCGCGGACATGGCACTGCTCATGAAACCACGCTGAGGCGGCGTCCCACATGCCACAACTAGAAGGACCCGCAACGAAGAATATACAACTATGTACTGGGGGGCTTTGGGGAGAAAAAGGAAAAAAATAAAATCTTTTAAAAAATTTAAAAAAAAATAAAATAAAAAAATAAAAATAAAAGGGCTGCCTGGCATGGAGAAGCAGACCCCATATGGTGTGGGGAGGGCATCCAAGCCTGAGGCAGCCCGGCATGTGAGAACGAGTAGACATTCTGAGTGGAATGAAGAGGGCACGCACTTGGAGGAAAAGCCCGTCATGAGGTGTCAATAGCCAAGGCAACGTGACAAGGATGTCCCCATGGAGTGTTGGCTTGGCACTAAGTGTCACAGCAGGCTGAAGAGGACATCCATGCAGGAGGGGCAAGCCTGGTGCAGGGTGTCAGAGTCAGAATATAAGGAGGAGGGCCCTTGTGTGGGGGATGGGGAGGGTGCTGGCAACGGTTACATACAGGGAGATTAATCAAGTAAGGAATCATATTAAGAACCAGATTTTTCACTGAGAAGAGAGTTAAGAATATGGAGAGGAAGAAAACGAGAATGAATACTGTGATGATGGATTGAGATTGCATGCATCAACAAGAACTCATGGTTTTCAGTGCGCACACACACACACACACACTCTAGGTCTGGTCACTGAGAAGACATGGGAGGAGCAACACCTTAATAACAATGAGCACATCCAACACCTACACTTTGGCTTCTAAGTACCATTTCCACTAAAAGGAATCACAGCTTCTTGGAGAAAAGACTAATTCCAGGGTTGAGGCAAGGAAAGGGTAAGATCCTCCTGGAATATCTTGTGGCAGAAAGCAAAGATGTGATCAATGACTGCTGGGGACATATCAAAAAGGTGTGAGAGTTCACTGAAGGGATTCACACTGGTCAAACTGAGGACAGCTTGAGCATCAAAATAAATTATAGAAATGGATTAAAACATACTGAATAAAATAGGAAACTATGATTCCATATTGATACAAATAAATAAACTGAAAACCTGATGAGGAATGGAGCATTTACAATAATCAAGCTCAAATGGAAGGACTTTCTAAAAAATAACTGGCCTGTAATCTCAAGGTCATGCAAGTCAAGGGAACACTGAGGAAGTGTTCCAGAGTAAATAAGACTAAAGACACGCGACATCTAAATGCAACACATGACTTTGAACTAGATCCTTTTGCTCTAAAGGGCATTTTTGGGACGTTTGGTGAAAACTGAACGGGGTCTGAGGATTAGATGGTAATAATGAATCAATGTTAACTTGCTGAATGTGATGGCTGT